GTTATGTCTCAGGGATAACCAGATGCAGGAACGGACAGACAGGAGCAGACGAATGCTGTGTTATGTCTCAGGGATAACCAGGTGCAGGGACGGACAGACAGGAGCAGACGAATGCTGTGTTATGTCTCAGGGATAGCCAGATGCAGGGACGGACAGACAGGGGCAGATGAATGCTGTGTTATGTCTCAGGGATAGCCAGATGCAGGGACGGACAGACAGGGGCAGATGAATGCTGTGTTATGTCTCAGGGATAGCCAGATGCAGGGACGGACAGACAGGGGCAGATGAATGCTGTGTTATGTCTCAGGGATAGCCAGATGCAAGGACGGACAGACAGGGGCAGATGAATGCTGTGTTATGTCTCAGGGATAGCCAGATGCAAGGACGGACAGACAGGGGTAGACGAATGCTGTGTTATGTCTCAGGGATAGCCAGATGCAGAGACGGACAGACAGGGGCAGACGAATGCAGTGTCATGTCTCAGGGATAGCCAGATGCAGGTACGGACAGACAGGAGCAGACGAATGCTGTGTTATGTCTCAGGGATAGCCAGATGCAGGAACGGACAGACAGGAGCAGACGAATGCTGTGTTATGTCTCAGGGATAGCCAGATGCAGGAACGGACAGACAGGAGCAGACGAATGCTGTGTTATGTCTCAGGGATAGCCAGATGCAGGAACGGACAGACAGGGGTAGACGAATGCTGTGTTATGTCTCAGGGATAGCCAGATGCAGGGACGGACAGACAGGGGTAGACGAATGCTGTGTTATGTCTCAGGGATAGCCAGATGCAGGGACGGACAGACAGGGGTAGACGAATGCTGTGTTATGTCTCAGGGATAGCCAGATGCAGGGACGGACAGACAGGGGCAGACGAATGCTGTGTTATGTCTCAGGGATAGCCAGATGCAAGGACGGACAGACAGGGGTAGACGAATGCTGTGTTATGTCTCAGGGATAGCCAGATGCAGGAACGGACAGACAGGGGCAGACGAATGCTGTGTTATGCCTCAGGGATAACCAGGTGCAGGGACGGACAGACAGGAGCAGACGAATGCTGTGTTATGTCTCAGGGATAACCAGGTGCAGGGACGGACCGACAGGGGCAGACGAATGCTGTGTTATGCCTCAGGGATAACCAGGTGCAGGGACGGACAGACAGGAGCAGACGAATGCTGTGTTATGTCTCAGGGATAACCAGGTGCAGGGACGGACAGACAGGAGCAGACGAATGCTGTGTTATGCCTCAGGGATAACCAGGTGCAGGGACGGACAGACAGGAGCAGACGAATGCTGTGTTATGTCTCAGGGATAACCAGGTGCAGGGACGGACAGACAGGGGCAGACGAATGCTGTGTTATGTCTCAGGGATAACCAGGTGCAGGGACGGACAGACAGGGGAAGACGAATGCTGTGTTATGTCTCAGGGATAGCCAGATGCAGGAACGGACAGACAGGGGCAGACGAATGCTGTGTTATGTCTCAGGGATAACCAGGTGCAGGGACGGACAGACAGGGGAAGACGAATGCTGTGTTATGTCTCAGGGATAACCAGATGCAGGAACGGACAGACAGGGGTAGACGAATGCTGTGTTATGCCTCAGGGATAACCAGGTGCAGGGACGGACAGACAGGAGCAGACGAATGCTGTGTTATGTCTCAGGGATAGCCAGATGCAGGGACGGACAGACAGGGGTAGACGAATGCTTTGTTATGTCTCAGGGATAGCCAGATGCAGGGACGGACAGACAGGGGTAGACGAATGCTGTGTTATGTCTCAGGGATAGCCAGATGCAGGAACGGACAGACAGGGGCAGACGAATGCTGTGTTATGCCTCAGGGATAACCAGGTGCAGGGACGGACAGACAGGAGCAGACGAATGCTGTGTTATGTCTCAGGGATAACCAGGTGCAGGGACGGACCGACAGGGGCAGACGAATGCTGTGTTATGCCTCAGGGATAACCAGGTGCAGGGACGGACAGACAGGAGCAGACGAATGCTGTGTTATGTCTCAGGGATAACCAGGTGCAGGGACGGACAGACAGGAGCAGACGAATGCTGTGTTATGCCTCAGGGATAACCAGGTGCAGGGACGGACAGACAGGAGCAGACGAATGCTGTGTTATGTCTCAGGGATAACCAGGTGCAGGGACGGACAGACAGGGGCAGACGAATGCTGTGTTATGTCTCAGGGATAACCAGGTGCAGGGACGGACAGACAGGGGAAGACGAATGCTGTGTTATGTCTCAGGGATAGCCAGATGCAGGAACGGACAGACAGGGGCAGACGAATGCTGTGTTATGTCTCAGGGATAACCAGGTGCAGGGACGGACAGACAGGGGAAGACGAATGCTGTGTTATGTCTCAGGGATAACCAGGTGCAGGAACGGACAGACAGGGGTAGACGAATGCTGTGTTATGCCTCAGGGATAACCAGGTGCAGGGACGGACAGACAGGAGCAGACGAATGCTGTGTTATGTCTCAGGGATAACCAGGTGCAGGGACGGACAGACAGGGGCAGACGAATGCTGTGTTATGTCTCAGGGATAACCAGGTGCAGGGACGGACAGACAGGGGCAGACGAATGCTGTGTTATGTCTCAGGGATAGCCAGATGCAGGGACGGACAGACAGGGGCAGACGAATGCTGTGTTATGTCTCAGGGGTAGCCAGGTGCAGGGACGGACAGACAGGGGCAGACGAATGCTGTGTTATGCCTCAGGGATAGCCAGATGCAGGGACGGACAGACAGGGGCAGACGAATGCTGTGTTATGTCTCAGGGGTAGCCAGATGCAGGAACGGACAGACAGGGGCAGACGAATGCTGTGTTATGTCTCAGGGATAACCAGGTGCAGGAACGGACAGACAGGGGTAGACGAATGCTGTGTTATGCCTCAGGGATAGCCAGATGCAGGAACGGACAGACAGGGGCAGACGAATGCTGTGTTATGCCTCAGGAATAGCCAGATGCAGGGACGGACAGACAGGAGCAGACGAATGCTGTGTTATGCCTCAGGGATAACCAGATGCAGGAACGGACAGACAGGGGTAGACGAATGCTGTGTTATGCCTCAGGGATAGCCAGATGCAGGAACGGACAGACAGGGGTAGACGAATGCTGTGTCATGTCTCAGGGATAGCCAGATGCAGAGACGGACAGACAGGGGCAGACAAATGCTGTGTTATGTCTCAGGGATAACCAGGTGCAGGGACGGACAGACAGGGGCAGACGGATGCAGTGTCATGTCTCAGGGATAGCCAGATGCAGGGACGGACAGACAGGAGCAGACGAATGCTGTGTTATGCCTCAGGGATAGCCAGATGCAGAGACGGACAGACAGGAGCAGACGAATGCTGTGTTATGCCTCAGGGATAGCCAGATGCAGAGACGGACAGACAGGAGCAGACGAATGCTGTGTTATGCCTCAGGGATAGCCAGATGCAGAGACGGACAGACAGGAGCAGACGAATGCTGTGTTATGCCTCAGGGATAGCCAGATGCAGGAACGGACAGACAGGGGTAGACGAATGCTGTGTTATGCCTCAGGGATAGCCAGATGCAGGGACGGACAGACAGGGACAGACGAATGCAGTGTCATGTCTCAGGGATAGCCAGATGCAAGGACGGACAGACAGGGGCAGACGAATGCAGTGTCATGTCTCAGGGATAACCATATGAAGGAACGGACAGACAGGGGCGGACGAATGCTATGTCATGTCTCAGGGATAGCCAGATGAAGGAACGGACAGACAGGGGCAGACGAATGCAATGTCATGTCTCAGGGATAGCCAGATAAAGGAACGGACAGACAAGGGCAGACGAATGCAATGTCATGTCTCAGGGATAGCCAGATGAATGAACGGACAGACAGGGGCAGACGAATGCAGTGGCATGTCTCAGGGGTAGCCAGATGCAGGGACGGACAGACAGGGGCAGACGAATGCTATGTCATGTCTCAGGGATAGCCAGATGCAGGGACGGACAGACAGGGGCAGACGAATGCTATGTCATGTCTCAGGGATAGCCAGATGCAGGGACGGTCCGACAGAAGCGTGGACGTATAGACAGGCGCTGGATGAATAGATGGAAGGATTTGCAGACGGACCAGTGATCAGTTGAATGGCCGAACAAACATGTGGATAGAGATATGGACGAATGTGTGAATGTAGTTACGGGTAGCAGGATAGATAGGGGGACCGGGATCATAGATGTATAGATGGATGGCAGTTTGAATGAACGGGTGAGTGATCACAAGGGTGGATGATCGATATTTGAGTACGTTTATTCTCATATAAATTATTTGTACTCGAACACGTTGATGTGTAGTTATTGTTACTCACTGTAGCGTGACATATGCATACATCTTATCGGAACTTAAATAATAAATGGTACTTGTGTGTCATGTCAGCTATAGCCGTTGTACAAGATCTGTGTTTAGGTCCGGGTTTAAACCCTCACTGTCAGGACATTACGAGCTTGCACTTTTGGTCTCTAGTCTTGCAAACCCAATTTAGTGCGATTGAAGACTGAAAATCTCCAGTCTACCATTTGGAAGCTATCAATCTTCAGTCTAATATTGGCAAACCAACAGTATCTAATATATCACTGGCAGACTAAACAGTATGTAATATATCACTGGGAAACAGGCAATCTGTAATCTTTCATTAGAAATCAAATAATCTTTAATCAAGCTTCGTGGGGCTCGCGATCTTTGCTTGTCTATCACTGGGAAAAGTTAGTTAATTAACATTTATGTTAGATAGACTGCTTTAAGTTTATGCATGAAGTTCTTCGGCCACTTAACATGTCTACGAGAGAAACTGATATAATTTCATGTAGATATTCCTCCAAATAATGTCCTTGTCAGGCAGACCCCCCCCCCCCCCCCCAAAAAAAAAAGTCTGTGGAATCAATCGCTAACTGTACAGTCGTGGGCTGTAATTTGTGCTTGCTATTGATTGAACCTAACTGGTTCGTTTGTCTGTTTCCAGGGAATGCTGAAGGTCACAGGTCAGCTCCTGAAGCGGGAGTTCCCGGCACAGCCGGACCTCAGCAGCGAGGATGGGCAGGAGCACAAGTGAGTCTTTGGCTGGGGAGTAACTGTTGTTTTGTTGGTGTTGGAGGAGCGTGAGACAGTCTTTGCTTGGGTGGGATTGAGCAACGTTGTTGTTGTTGTTGCAATAGCATGAGATAGTTGTTACCAGGGAGGGAGTGACCAGTGTTGTTTTTGTTATTTATGTTGTTGTTGGAGGAGGAGCGCGAGGTAGTCTTTGCTTGGGTGGGATTGAGCAATGTTGTTGTTGTTGTTGCAATAGCATGAGATAGTCGTTACCAGGGAGGGATTGACCAGTGTTGTTTTTGTTGTAGTTGTTTATGTTGTTGTTGGAGGAGCGCGAGGTAGTCTTTGCCTGGAAATGATTGAGCAATGTTGTTGTTGTTGCTGGAGCGTAAGGCAGTCCTTACCTGGGAGGGATTAAGCAGTATTGTTGTTGTTGATGATGTTGTTGTTGCAGGAGCATGAGGTAGTCTTTACCTGGAAGAGATTGAGCAATGTTTTTGTTGTTGTTGTTGTTGTTGTTGCAGGGGCATGGATCAATCTGTGCTTGGGAGGGATTAAACAGTGTTGTTGTTGCAGGAGCATGAGTCCGTCTTTACCTGGAAGGGATTAAGCAGTGTTGTTGTTTTTGTTGCAGTAGCATGAGTCCTTCTTTGTCTGGGAAGGGCAAAGCAACGTTATTGTTGTTGCAAAAGTATGAGTCTGTCTTTGCGTGGGGATGGCAGAGCAATGTTATGGTTGTTGTTGCTGCAGAAGTATGAGTCATGGTGGTAGATTTGATAATGTCCTGACTGACTGTTACAATGGGATGGGTTTAATTCTGAAAGTCAGAAGAATTTGGTGATGAAATCCTGACCATCTGTTACAGTGGAAGAAGTTTAATTCTGAAGACAAGAGACATTTTTGTGCTAACAGCACGCTTTTGTGTGGACTTCTTGTTGAAATTTTATTTCTTCTGGTATCTTGGTCACCTGTGATTTGATTTGTGGGATGTGTAATCTTTTCTGGGTTTTTCAGATGGGCAGTTGGGGTAATAGGGGGAGACGGGAGGGGCATTGAAATAAATAAATACACTGTGTAAACATATACCCACGGCCATGATTTCATGACCAGTTGGACTCTCCTCTTCTACACTAAGATGTTGGTGAAACTGCCATGGTGTAATAGACATACCTTCTTGTTAGGATCAAACCTTAGACTTTTAGGACAGACAGTCAATGAACGACCACAGACACAGAATATAGGTCCTGTGTTGTGATCACGAGAGCAGCTGTAGGAAATGTCTAAATGCTCACCTGCAGATTTGAAGGTTAAGGGTTCAGATCCTAATGGAGCCAGTGTTTTTAATTTTAAAATGCTCTCGGCCTTCAGGTCGGCCCAGTGTTAAATGGGTACCAGGTTAAGCTCTGGGAGGTAAAGGTGGCCGGCATGATGTTGACCACGTCACCCACCGAGTGCCAATTGGTCTTTAAAATATAGGTTTAGCACTTTGTTGCCCAGTATGCCTGGAGTTGTGGAAAAGGATCCTTGTAGTGTCATCTTCAGTTGCTCAGAAAGGAACATAATGTTAATAGGAAAAGAGGTGTCTGTTGATGCTGGATTCTTTTTGAGCAGGATGGGGCATGGCATCCAGCTGATATCTGCCTGATTTCCTCATGTCGGTTCTAGGGCCCCATGTGTGGGAAAACAAGAATAGACCCACTGCCTCCCCAGCAAGCATATCATAAGAGTTGACTGATTTGGGGCATCCTTCAAAGTCAGAGTGCATCTGCCTGAGAGGCAAGGAACCTAAAGTCTGCATACAGATAAGCCAGATCTGTAAAACAGATCTGCATGCAGCACTGTTTTGGAAAAAGACTTAAGTCTGGATTTGGACAAACAGCCAGAGCTTTCTGCTGGAGTTGACATCAAGTGAGTGCAGGGAAGAGAAGCAGATCTGCCTGATTTCTCTAGGACAGGGCTATACAGCTAGTGCCTCTTGGGTCGAATCTGTGCCTCAGTGGTCTAGAAAATGGTTTGCAGATCACTGCCAGTTGTATTTTCTTTCCTGCGGCTTGGGTCTTAGGCCCATGACAGTCTCCATTTTCAATGCTTTGGCCCCTAAGTAAGCCTAGCTATGTGTTAGAACATCCCAGTTTGTGTCATACACTTTTTGTTGAGTCTCTCATTCATTCATTGACCCTCTCACATCTTGTGTTGATTCTGTCATTCCTTCAATGATCCCTCCCTGATCTTTGTTATTGCCCAGTTTGGGACCAGGCAGGTAAGTCCTTATTTGTTCTCTTGTGTTCAGAATGTTCCTGCTGTTAGATATTTCTGGATCCTCTATCTCTTTCTTGTTGATTTTTATCAGATAGTCAATGTTTACCGAGTGGTGAATGTTTCCAGGTGTTATCTATGTGCCTGCTTATTAATGTTCTCCATAGTTGTCTGTTGCCAGTTTTTATATTATTACATATTCACCAACAAGTGAATGTTTCTAGTGTTGTGTGTTCACCAACAGATGAGTGTTCCCCAATGTTGAATGTTTACAAAAGGATGAATGCTCCCTAATGTTGAATGTTCACAACAGATACATGTTACCCAATGTTGAATGTTTAAAAAGAAGAATGCTTCCTAATGTATATTCACAACAGATGAATGTTAATCAATGTTGTATGTTCACCACAGGTGAATGTTCTCAATGTTGTATGTTCACCAACAGTTCAGTGTTTTCCAATGTTGTATGTTGTTTACCAACAGATAGTGTTCCCTAATGTTGTATGTTCACCAGTTAATAAGTGTTCCCACATATGCTTTGTTCACCAACCAGTGAATGTTACCTAATGTTGTACATCACAAACGGATGATCCCCCGCCCCCACCTAATGTTGTATGTTCCCCAGAAATGTTCCCACATTCATCATGAATGTGGTTGGTGTCATCCTTGGTAACTATTTCAGTACCAGAAGTTTGTTTAGAAGGTTTGTAAGGGAAGGAGATGACTAGTATGAGAAATCAGGTGTGATTTGCTTCTAAAGGGGCCAAACGGATCTGTGCTGAAGCCAGATTTTCTTACTACGTTATGACCAAATTTAAGAAGTAAAAGAATGATGTCTCTCTTGAGATTGGAAGAGCTCAGTTTTTAATGTTTTCCGAGCTCCCCCTACCCCTTAAATATGTATAGGGGCGTGGCTCAAGAAACACGAGCCTTGTTTAAGTGTGCAGTAATAATAATAAAAAATTATGGCACCTATTTTTATATGGCTAATAAATATAATAATATATTTGAAGTAACATGAAATGTATGAACAAACACTTCAAAAAGTTCCTGTTTACATCACGAAAAGCTGAGTGCGGTCAAGGCCCTTTGGGACAGGTCAACTGGTCAGAGGCACAAAGAGATCACTATTGTGTGGAGAGCTGGGTGTGTGACAAGGGGATTTGACCGACACTCAAAACTTGGAGGACATATAAACAGACTGCTACAGGCACCATCAGAATTGTAGCTCTTTGTTGGCTGCTGAAGATGAGGATGTAGCACTTATGGGAATGTCCAAAGTGCTGTGATATCAGTTCTTAGTTTAACAGTCAGTACAATACATGGTTAGGTTGACCAGTTAGTCTGCTTGCGCATTTTCTAGGGGGTGGGAGCTCGGTCCTGTTTACAATTATTGAGGCACCTATGTCCATAGTTGTTTAGTGAGTCAAAGAGGATTGCTTCCACTATTATTATCCAATGTCTTGTTTACGGATAGTCCCTTGTAAAGTTTCTTAATGTTGATTACTCTTCACTTGCCTGAGTCTTGCTATTTTTAGATACTTATTATATCCCCTGTGTGGGTTTCGGAAACCCCATTTTCTGGGGGGAAAGATGAGACCCCGTTGTCCCCGCCCCACCCAACAGGCCTGTCGTAAAAGGTCACTAGGGGATTTTACCTCCAAAGTCAGAGTCCACCTGCCTGAGTAGCGAAGAGCCAGCAGTCTGCATGCAAGTTAGCCAGATCTGTAAAACAGATATGCACACACAATTAAGTTATGGAGCAGGACTGAAGACCAGAAGTGGATGAACGGCAATTGAACGCGAAGACGAGGAAGAAAATACTTCTGTTGTTGAATGAGTCAGTCCTCTCAAGGCAGATGAAAGTTGTAAACTTGTTAGTGAAATTTGACGTAGATTATTACAACTTTTGGATATGTTGTTAGATAGGATAGACTGGAAAATTTGATGACATGTAGCTGAAAAAACAACAACTGTGGCCAAGGTAAAGAGGTAAATACCTTAGTGGTATGGCCACATGAATGGGGGCAAGACAAGATCACTTACCTGATCGGTGATTCTGGGGATCTGTAAGGTGGTCATATGTTAGTTGTAAGAGTAAAGTCAGCACAGAACCAGTACTGAATTACATACAAAGACAGCAAATAAACTGTTTTGTCCCACTGTGACACCATATTCTAGCACCAAGACAAACAACAACAGACGTGAGGAATGTAGAACAAGGGGTAGACCAAGAACAAGATGGAAAGATAACATCAGAGTGACTCTTCAATGTCATGTTTGAGTCTATGGTTAAGGTGGCCAGTAAAGCAAGAAGCAGAAATTTGTATTCCTCTCGATTTGACCATCTGGGCTTATAAAGATGTGCACACGATAGTGATGATGATAATGTCTGTTTTGTGATTGGAATTGTGTGCATGCTTTTTAGGTTGTTGTGTGGATTTCTGAGTTGTGTTATAGTATGTTATCACAATCAACATCACTAAACATTGGGCATTCCCATGCATGCTCAGTCCTCCCATGCAGCAACCACTACATGGTACCTATGCTGATTGTTCCAGTGAGGAACAAGTTATAATATGTCCTATCTTGACTTTGAAGGCCGCACAACGTGCTTTACCCTGCTTTAGTCCCATGTCATGCAATCATGACAGTGCCAGAGATTCGTCATTATCCACTAGCCTAGTCCGTACAGTGTTGAGGCCTTATGCTCTGTCCATGCTTCTTCCTACATGAATTGGTGCATTGCTGACCAGTTGGTCCGCTCTTTCATTTCATGAGTATCTGTCCACTGGTTTCCTTTAGGTTTTCTTGATCACTTGTGTTTAAATCACTGTTTTTCAGCCGTTTTCAGGGACCTTTCCCCGCTTTAATATACAGCAAGACCCCTTTCCCCTTCTTCAAAAAATATGTTTAAAAGAGAGAATTGGCATACGTTTCGGTCAGAATGTGTCCATAATCTATAATAAATGCAGAAATTTATCCTGTTAATTAGATTTTTTAATGGTAGTAGTTTAAGCTTCTCATGAAAACAAAATTGTCCTTGACTTCTTGTTTTATAAATAGTTTTATCAAATTTTTTTTTAAATAACTTAATTGAAAAAAAAAATGTATTAGTATAACAGATTATTTCAATACAAATGAATTCAACACTGCGCTTAAAACTTTCTTGTTCTCTCCCCCCTCCCCCATTCCCCCCCCCCATCCCAATCCCTTTCCCCCCATGTTGAAAACCACTGGTTTGAAGTGTACAGATGTTATGAATTGTCCAGACTTGTCAACTGTAGTTTATATAGATACACACGATATATAACAGTACCGCAACATCCTGTCAAATATACACAGTAAGGACTAGCAGTAGAAGCAGTCACATTATAAAGACTGGCGTAGGGATGTGGGAGTCGCCGTGGAAAAGCGGCTAGATGCTCACTGCGGATCGGAAGGTTGTGGGTTCGTTGCCTGGCGGAGCGGGACTTAAAAAAAAAAAATGACCTTGGCTCCCAGTCTGGATTGGGTACCGGGTGCAGTCCCGGGAAGTAAGGGTGGCCGGCATGATGCTGACCACATCACCCATCTTGTGCCGATTGGTCTATAAAATATAGGTCTAGCCCTATATGCCCTAAACGCCTAAAGGCGTGGAAAAGGGTCCTTTACCTTTTACTTACTTTTACGTAGGAATGTAGAGTAGTAGCTTTAAACATAAAGGAGAAGTGGATTTTAACATAAACGTACAAGTATATAATAGTTAAACCAGCGTTCAGCTAGACTGATTTTGTGAATGCCTCACAGTAGGTTTTAACATACACATACAAGGATATAATAGTTAAACCAGAGTTCAACTAGACTGATTTTGTGAAGGCCTCACAGTAGGTTTTAACATACACATACAAGGATATAATAGTTAAACCAGCGTTCAGCTAGACTGATTTTGTGAAGGCCTCATTGTAGGTTTTATCATACACATACAACTATATAATAGTTAAACCAGAGTTCAGCTAGACTGATTTTGTGAAGGCCTCATTGTAGGTTTTAACATACACATACAAGGATATAATAGTTAAACCAGCGTTCAGCTAGACTGATTTTGTGAATGCCTCACAGTAGGTTTTAACATACACATACAAGGACATAATAGTTAAACCAGAGTTCAACTAGACTGATTTTGTGAAGGCCTCATTGTAGGTTTTAACATACACATACAAGGATATAATAGTTAAACCAGCGTTCAACTAGACTGATTTTGTGAATGCCTCACAGTAGGTTTTAACATACACATACAAGGATATAATAGTTACACCAGAGTTCAACTAGACTAATTTTGTGAGGGCCTCATTGTAGGTTTTAACATACACATACAAGGATATAATAGTTAAACCAGAGTTCAACTAGACTGATTTTGTGAAGGCCTCATTGTAGGTTTTAACATACACATACAAGGATATAATAGTTAAACCAGCGTTCAGCTAGACTGATTTTGTGAACAACAACAACAACAACAACATTGTCACCTCAGTGATGTCATTGAACTTAAAAAATGCAGGATCCTTGTGTTCTAGAAGCTTGTTGCTGTTTAGCCAGTGTAAGCAGTGAGTGCTTTCTCTTTGTTGTTACTGGTGTGTTTTTGTTGCAATAAGCTGGCCTGTTTGATTTCAAACTGTTGTTGATTGAGGCGGCGAGTACATGTGTTGCTGCCTCACAGATATGTTATAAAGGGCAAACTTCATGGTAGAGCCCAGAATGTGGGAAGAAGAAGACAAAGAAGAATAAGAAGATGACAGTGATAATGAATAAGATGATGGTGATGATAACAATAAAGATAATAAAGAAAGTGACCATAATAATGAAAAATAAGAATAAGATGATGATAGTGAAGAAGAAGAAGAAGAAGAAGAAGAAGAAGAAGAACAAGAACAAGAAGAACAAGAAGAAGAAGAAGGAAGAAGGAAGAAGGAGGGATTATAAGCTTTGTGAATAATGAAAAGACCTATATTGCCATTTATTTCTTTGTCTATGAAGACATAAAAAATGTCTCTGATATCAACTGAAGGAAAGCCAACATTTGTGTGTTTTCTGGTGTCCAGGAAAGTTTTTGTCAATAATTAATTAATTCTTTGAGAATGAGTTTCCGTTACAACATAGTTAACTGATATCATGTTTCACTGAGGGTGGCTGGCCGGAGAAATTAACAGAAATAACAGTTATGGGAAGGGAAGCTCTTTAGTGTTTGGAAATAGTATGAGACATCAGTCCAGAGGCATTGATTAGCACTCACAGAAGATAAGGAATTAGGCATAGAAATGTTACGCTATCCAAAATTTCTTTTCTTTATCTTTAACGATTGCCTGACAATATGTGCACTTTATTTGTGAGAAAAAAATCTAGTGTTTCGACAAACATAAGCCCTGGTATTATATTAATAACTTTTTCCAGTGGCCTTAGGGGGGTATTTTCAGGGGATGTATTTAGTTTGGAGTTAATTATAATTTCTATTATCATTTATTTAAATCAATAATGTCAGTTTATATTTATTTATAAATAAATTGCTTTATAATTCATTATGTACGTTATGTCAGTTTTCTGTCAGAGGCCAAAATAAAATCATAACCTGCGCAGTCCGTGGCCACAGCATTGGACTTGTGACCCTAAATGCTCAAACTCAAAGACTTGTTGCCTAAACCACAAAAGTGATAAATGCAGGTGGTAATGACCGTCTGGCAGTCCTTCGTCTAGTTAGCCAAAGTAGTGTAGTCATTAGTCCATGAGATCTTTGCTCTTCAAATGTACTTCTAGTACTTGCCAAAATATCCCTCATGTTCGCACCTTTTTGTCCTTCCAGGCAATAGTGTTATATTGTGCTATGATGAGGCATGGGACTCGCAGCCTGTGGCGATGGAAAGTGTGACCCGCCAGCGCTGAGAAAAGTCTTCCACAGTTCGGGCCTGGGATTTCGGCACTGTTATTGCCATCATTTGTATTTAGTGTGTTCTTCTCAGACACTCACGTCTCATCCTTTCTGCAAGCAGTCCTTCCTTCATTCTCATTCCCTTCCTGTTGTGTCCCTGCAAGCAACACAGTCTGTGGCTTTATCCAATATCTCTGTCATGGTTGTTAATACCCATGTGTACTCACTGAGAATACTACTGATTTAACTCTTCTTTCTGGCTCTGTGACTTTGAGGTTAGTGAACTGGTTTCATTCCTCAGTGTGTACCAGGGTTCACTCCTCAGTGTGTACCAGGTTTCACTCCTCAGTGTGTACCAGGTTTCACTCCTCAGTGTGTACCAGGGTTCACTCCTCAGTGTGTACCAGGTTTCACTCCTCAGTGTGTACCAGGGTTCACTCCTCAGTGTGTACCAGGGTTCACTCCTCAGTGTGTACCAGGGTTCACTCCTCAGTGTGTACCAGGCTTCACTCCTCAGTGTGTACCAGGTTTCACTCCTCAGTGTGTACCAGGGTTCACTCCTCAGTGTGTACCAGGTTTCACTCCTCAGTGTGTACCAGGTTTCACTCTTCAGTGTGTACCAGGGTTCACTCCTCAGTGTGTACCAGGGTTCACTCCTCAGTGTGTACCAGGGTTCACTCCTCAGTGTGTACCAGGGTTCACTCTTGTGGTGAGTGGTTTAAACTGTTCTTGAGTCTTTCAGACAGTGGTATTTTATTAGGGCCTCACCAAATGCTATTCCCACAGCTGGCCAACCCCCCATGGAGATAGCAATGTTTTTGTAACTCCTGGCAGGTTATCCAAGTTAACTCTTGTCATCTTGGGTTCAGGACTGTGTGTGCTGTGTGGAGGACCATTCTGGAGGAGTCGGAGAAACTGGCCAAGGCAAGATTGCAGGTGGCTGAAGTCTACTCCGAGAGTGCGGCTGAACCCCTGAAGCCAGCAAAGGCAGCAAAAGTCCAGTGTTTTAAGAAGGTGAGATGTCAATGACTAATTTGAGTTGTTTTGTACTAGTTGAAAAAAGAAAAAAGACATATCTGACAAACTGAAGACTGGAGTGCTCCAGTAGTACACTGAGCAAATGTAGTAAATGAATGTGAGTGTTAGGACCTCAAAGCACCCTTTTCCACACCCTTAGATATAATAAGTATATAATAAAGTAAAATAATAAAGTAAAAAAAAAAGTAAAGATCCCTTTCCACGCATTTAGGCGTATCCGGCATAGTTAGAAATGTACACATTCCAGTGATTATATTGAATATTTTGATGCTATTGATAATGTTTATTACTTAATGCGTGAATGAAATGATGTAAGAACCAAGGCAGACCTCGAAGGGCAGAATGTTAGGTGGGCCTGTGTGCCCAATTCCTAACCCTTTAAAATTAAAGTTTGTTCCTTCATTCGTTCGTATGGTCCGTCCATTAAGTGGAGTCATGTCTGTGTATGCCCAGGTCATGCCCCAGTTGAGTGTCATCCATGCAGAAGTGGCCCAGTGTGTCCTGGACCTGGTGAAGACCCAGAAGGCGTACATGGCTGAAGGTAGTCTTGCTCATGAGTCCAGGCAGAAGTCATCTGATGCCGAGGATAAGTAAGTCACTTGTGGTCTCCAGAACATGGGCTTTGTTGAAGATCTGTTGAGATAGTTCACATCATTGTTCTTAATTATAATATGTTGAAAGCAAGATTAACATCTCATGACATCATTGTTCTTAACCATAAAATTTTGAAAGCAAGATTCACATCTCATGACATCATTGTTCTTAACCATAAAATTTTGAAAGCAAGATTCACATCTCATGACATCATTGTTCTTAACCATAAAATTTTGAAAGCAAGATTCACATCTCATGACATCATTGTTCTTAACCATAATATGTTGAAAGCAAGATTCACATGTCATGACATCATTGTTCTTAACCATAATATGTTGAAAGCAAGATTCACTTGTTAAGTTATAAGGTTGTTATTTATCATATACTGAAGTGTTGTTTCGTATTTCTATTTATATTGTAATTTGTCTTGGCATACTGGAGGCAGGTTGAGAAAAGTAATTTGTTTTGATAATTTGACAATAAAATAGGCATTTTATTTTATTACATATCAGAGACAGGTTTGGTATTTCATTGTATTGTTTGTGTCATTGTGTGTTAAAGATGAGGCATATAATTTCATTGTGTAGGATGTTTTAACCTTTCGAACTGGAAACCCTACAAAAATAAAAACAAACCCAATAACCTGTTTTTCTTGACCCCCCCCCCCATTCCCCCCCCGTCCCCCCCCCCCCCCCCCCCACCCCCCCCACCCCCCCAAATCCTTAAAACTTTTTACAGAGACAATTCAGTTTTTTTTTTTCAGGTTAAAAAGATACAGAAAATGACTTTTAATTAATTCTTAGGTCTTAAACATGTTTCACAGCTTAGTTTATTAGTTATAAAGATGATTGAAATAACTTCATTTGATTTTTCCATTACAAAGCTTTATGGCACCATTTCAGTTGATTCTTCCATTGTAAAGCTTTATGGCACCATTTTAATTGATTCCTCTTGTTAAAGATATTTGACACTCCTCTTTGTCAGATTGAAAAGAAAATCCACCGGTATATTCCAGTCGTTGGCAAGTTTGCAGAAGTCTTGCTCTAAGGTACCTGTTTCTTGTATGTGCTTTTTATGGGGATAGAACGTAAAATTACGTGTTTTTGTAATGTATGTAAAATTACATGTTTATGTGAAATACCCTAAGTAAGGTAAACTACTAACAGATAATAATCAAGTAATCCCAGTTTCAACTTCATAACAAAAGGGACACACCATAGTTGCTCCATTCCACACAGAAGGTCCATCACTGCCCATTCTGAACATAAATGGACACAGACTGTAGTTCTTAGCAAATCCAACACTGCACACACACATTGAAAGCATAAGGCAGTATTCGAAAGTGTCACCACAAACAATCTGACCCTATAAATGCAGTTTTTCATCAATGGAAGCAGCACTTTTAAAAAACCAATAACAATTTTTATCATGAGGCACCTCAAGTTCTTTGGCAACAGGCCACTCACCATTTTCTGAATCTTCATTGCACAACACGAACCACACTGAGCTCAGTCATAAAGAATTAGAAATAAAAACCCCTAGCTCATAGTATCAGGTCATGCACTTAGCTCGGTAGGTGGGTGACGGAACTGTATCTTTTAGTCCACATATGGGGGAAAATGCAACAGCTAACTATTGGTGGAAGCAAAAAACTTGAACGACTAAAACAGTAAACCTGCTTTTCCACCATATTTACAATCCAGACAATAGATTTATACCATGTATACCATGCTGTATGTATGTATACGACAAGGATGTAAACTTTCACCTGATTTGTTTTCAGTATACAGTGAATATATTATGAGATATTTAATTGATATGCCCGGAATTGTGGTTGGTGGGCACAATATAAACAATTTACGTTATGCTGATGACACAGTCTTGATAGCAACAAGTCAGAAAGAATTACAGGAAATGATAGACATTGTGGTGTTAGAAAGTGGAAGATTGGGCCTCAGTTTGAATAATGGGAAGACAGAAGTAATGGTGGTATCAAAGAAACAAATTATTCCTAAATGTGTAATAAAAGTCAATGGTGTTTTTTAAGACAAGTACAGAAATTTAAGTATCTGGGCACATGGATAACATCAGATGGAAGATGCATAACTGAAATAAGAAACAGAATTGGACAGGCAAAAACTGCATTTTATAAAATGAAAAACATCTTGTGCAATATATCCTTGTCATTGAGAGTTAGAAAAAGAATTCTTGCTTGCTACATACATCCAGTTTTAACATATGGATGTGAATCCTGGACAATCGGTAGGCAGGCCAAACAATTTTTAGAGGCCTCGGAGATGTGGTTTTACAGAAGAATGCTTAGAATACCTTGGACAGCCAAAAAGAGCAACCAAGAGGTTTTAAAAGAGGCGGGAGACCGAAGACAACTTATCACTGACATCAGAGGGAGACAGTCATCATTTTTCGGCCATGTTATGAGAAGAGGGAAAATAGAACATGTTGTGACCACTGGAAAGATCTGTGGAAGGAGGGATAGAGGAAGACAACGAGAGAAGATGCTTGACAGTCTTGTTGCATGGCATGGAGGTGTGTCGGCACACGAACTGATACATGCTGCAGGAGATCGCGGATTATGGAGAGGTATGATCGCCCACGCCAGTCGGCAGGGCACCTGATGATGATGATGATACCATGCTGTGAGGAGGCTTGGCAGTCACAGCCTGTGGTGATGGCGAGTGTTTCTAGCAAGACCTGCTCGCAATAAGAAAAGTCTTCCACACGTGGAGCATGGGATTTCAGGACTAATGTTCCCATCATTTGTGTTTGACAAATAATAATCTAACATATAGTAAAGACATATAAAGTAAAGTGAGGTAAAGTAAAGAAAGGTCAAGTAAAATAATAAGTCAAGTAATGTAGACGACTTTTTTTATTATGGACAGACCAAAACAAGTCATTATCTTCCACCTCAGAACAGGGCACAACCGATTACGTAACCACATGTACACAAAATTTAAGATAGGTGTACCAGCCATGTGAACCTGTGGAAAGGTGCCCCAGACAGCAGAGCATGTACTCCAGGACTGCACCGAATTTGACACATTAAGGCAAACCTTTTGGCCAGAAAGAACAACAGTGGAACGTAAACTCTATGGACCACTGAATGAACTAACAACGACAGTGAAATTTATACAAGAGACAAAACTGCTGATATAGACAACTTATTTCAGGCGAACGAAAGAAGAAGAAGATATAGAGGACTCCGTGCCACGCAGTGAAGTTTTATTGGTGATAGTGCTAGTACTTTGTTTTAGGGCTTGTCTGCATTGGGTCATTAATGTGGTAAATACATAGCCAAGCACTTGTGGTATCAGGAAGTTGATACAGAACTGGTGCAGAACTGCAACCCCTGCAGAATACTTACGCAACTGGTACACTAGCAGTACCATAAATATTGATACCTACCTAATCATTGCACCATTTTTCATAAAACAACAATTACCTCATTATTAAACAACAGGATCGTTAGAGCTAATGTCCCCAGTCTCACACTAGATGCTAGAAACATCAACAGAGAGAGCAAACTGAAGTATCTGGGAATTACATATGACAGGAGCCTGTCCCTTAAGGACCTTGTGGAGAGTGTTGTGACGAGATGCCAAAAAGGACTTAGTGCACTTAAGACTATGGCTGCAATTGAAATAGAGAAGAGAATGCTTTTCACACTATAATATCATCACCTGATCCTGTCAGTGGTTGATTATGGCCTGGGATTGCTTACCGTCTCAAAGAGTCAGATGGGCAAACTAAAGCGCATACAGAAGGCAGCTATGCAGGTCATTCTGGGTTGCACCAGAAATAACCAGTGGCATGTTAGCGATACATACTTGGTTTGCCGACTGTTGCAGGTAGGCATAAGGTGCTGCAGACGAAGTCATATCTCAGGGTAGCTGCAGACACAAACCACCCTTTGCACAAAGCTGTGGGTGCAGTTAAGGGTCAGCGGCTGATAAGAGGGAAGTCATGGATGGCTCAGGCAGAAGACACAATCAGACAGGTTTGCATCCTTGAGAACATTAGGCAAGGAGAGGAGTGGGTCATAGTGCCACCTAAACAGTCAAAACTTGTGTAGGGTCATAATCACATTGAATCGGGAATGCAGAGACTGGCCAGCAGGTGCCACGGAGGTGGAAATTCAGCAATTAATTCAAGATAATGCTCACTCAGAGGATTTGATTATTTAGACAAAAGGTTCAATTTCAAGAGGCAAAAGAAGTGCTTGGGGTTTCTTAGCAAAAGTTAATGGTCGTCGTTTGGTGCAGGAGAACCTACCATATGATACCACATCGCCAAGCTTTAGAATGGAGGTGGAGGCGGTCACTGCAGTTTTCCACTGGTTAGAGAACACAACACACACACACACATTGTGATTGAAACTGACTCAGAAAGCATGCTGAGGAAGGTCAGGACAGGAATGCTTAGTGCAGAGTGGCATGCTTCACTGTGAAGGACACGGGCAGGGAGTATTGTCTGGATTTTTTCACCAGAAATGCATGTGTGTTAGGAAATGAACAGGCGGACAGACTGGCAGGCTCTGCGCAACTTGGTGGAATACTGATTCATGATATGGCAGATGTGGTTAGTGTCTTGTGGGAGAGCATGTACAGTTTGGAGGAGCAGATGGATCACCACAGTCTGGTGAGATTGATGCAGCGGGGAGTGACAAGAGGTTCTGGCGGATGCTCGAGGCTCAGAGGAAAGGCAAGATGAATGTTTAATCAGAATGCTACTGGCACCATTAGTATGGGAACTCTTCACTGGCTGCTGAGGATAGGGATGGAGCGCTTTTGGGAATGCCCCAAGTGCTGTGATGTCGGTTCTTGATTCCACTCAACTATTATATTAAACACTTCTTTGAAAGACACAAGTAAACATGTTGGAACTGGCCAAATGATCTCAGGAACGGTAATCATGCTACAGAAGTAGTTACGGTTCTTGGCTGATTGACCTTGTCATGTTGACTATTATTTTTGTTGACCTTTATTGTTTCTAGTTGCGGGCACGAACAGAAGCCAATGAAGTGAAGGAAACGGCAGCTAGAAACGAGTATCTCTTGTCCCTGGCTGCAGCTAATGCTCACCAGATTCGCTACTACAGCACAGACTTACCTGAGATCATAAAGGTGAGTGTTTGCAAGTGTGTAATGGTGCTTGATTGGGTGAGTGGGCACACTGTCTGTCTGTCTGCAGTCACAGTGGGCAGATTCGTTTATACTTGTTTCCTACATATGTGCTCAAAACCAGTGTCCTGTCCAAAACCTGGCAATTATTGCTTGCTTTTGTCTGTTGAGTTTATTGATCCCCTCACTCTCCAGGCTGTAGTCTCCATTCTGCCTTTTCCTTCTCTACTTCCCCTGAAGGACTGCTCTAGGATGGATTTGGTTCTTCTATAGATCTGTGGTGAATGAGGCTGTCCACGATTACTATGCTTTTCACATTAAATCTTTCTATCCCAAGCAGAGGCCTCAGAGATGTGGTTTTACAGAAGAATGCTTAGAATACCTTGGAAAGCCAAAAAGAACAACCAAGAAGTTTTGAAAGAGGCGGAAGCCCGAAGACAACTTATCACAGACATCAGAAGGAGACAGTCATCATTTTTCGGCCATGTTATGAGAAGAGGGAAAATAGAACATGTTGTGACCACTGGAAAGATCTGTGGAGAAAGGGATAGAGGAAGACAACGAGAGAAGATGTTTGACAGTCTTGTTGCATCGCATGGAGGTGTGTCGGCACACGAACTGATACATGCTGCAGGAGATCGCAGATTATGGAGAGGCATGATCGCCCACGTCAGTCGGCAAGGCACCTGATGATGATGATCCCAAGCAGTGCATCATGCATGATCAACATTTTCTAATAGATCTCAAACAGTCCACAGTATTTTCTGTTACTTTTTTTTATTTGGTCATAGAATTCTAAAGAAATATGGCAGTCCCAGTAGCCTCTTTGAAATTGTTTTGGATTTTTTTCATATTAGTTATTTCTGTCCACTAACAACTGCTTGGTACTGAAAGAGTTAAATAAAGTAAAAAATACAAAACAATTTAGAAGATAATAAGTTGTAGCCATGTTGTAATGTGTGCGCTCTCTCACAGACACTGGACTGTGATGTTTATGAGAAGATCCAGGAGTCCTTGACTGTGGCAGGCCAGGCGGCAGCAGAAATTGCTGACAAAGAGGCCACATTTTTCCACAGTATTGCCACCGAAGCTGCCAAGGTATGTATGTATGGGTGTATGATTCTGTGTAAATTTTTATACTTGAGTGGTGTCAGTGTAAACCTCATGTCACTTTCTTTTCCCTAATTTCCCTTGTCTGGCATCTCAGTAATGGTATATATATTGTGTAATTCTGTTTGTCTGCTTTTTGTCTGTTGTTTCTTCCTGTACATGTTTATCTCGATACTTATATAGTTTCTCTGTAGTAGAGTTTATATCTCTTGTTTCTCTCTATGCATGTATGCATAGCTACTTTAAAGGTGGCCTTTAGCAAGATGCAAAAGATTTCCACCAACAAGAACATGTTGGTTGCTGTGAGAACAACAATGTTAAAGTGTTATGTGGCACCTGTGTTGTTATATGCATATGAAATATGGAAAATAAGCAAACAAGGTAAAGAGATAAATACCTGGATGTCCTGGCCAGATGGATGGGGCCAGACAAGAACCTTAAACTGATCCGTTGTGATTCTAGACATACAGTCACACCCGAACAAAGCTAGAGCTGCTTTTGGAAGGATGAGAGCAAGTTTAGAAATCCAACAGTTACTGCAGAGGAATGAAACTCAGACTTTACAAGAGCATTATTTTGCCAGTTCTTTTTTATGGAGCAGAATGCTGGAGAATTACCAAAAAGGATGCTTGCAAGCAATCCATTTTCCACCACACATGTCAACATAGAGTAATCTAAATTTTCTAGCCAGATACAATCTCAAACACTAAACTACTTTAATTCATACACCAAGAAACTCTAGAGAGAAGGTGGAAATGGCTTGGCCATGTTATGAGAATGAATCCTGATATACCTGCCAAAACAGCTCTCACAGGGACACCAGAGGGAAAGAGAAAGAATTGGCGCCCAAAAAACAACATGGAGAGTGATCTGAATGCAACATCTCTGACATGGAAAATTGCACTGAAGATTGCACAGGACAGGAAAGCATGGAAAGTCCTCTCTGAAGCCTCATGTGCCACTAGGCATAAAGAGAATTGATGATGATGATCCGTGATTCTGGTGATCGTGTGAGATGGTGAAACATGGCAGCCTGTGCTTACTGGCACGGCACATGATGATGATATCACTACTTGTACAATTTCTCTGCAGCAAAGTTTCTGTCTGTGTCTCTCTTTATACATGTAAAGCTTGATACTCGTACCATTTTTCTGCCCTAAAGTTCTTCTTCTTCTTCAGCGATCTCTGGTCATGCGCATAATCCACTGTGGGTCATAAACTGGGATGTCTTTTCAAGGTCTCTTAGGTTTCTCCAAAGCTTAGTTGTCAGTTCTACTGGGTGTTGCCAAATGTTGCTCCGCAGCTCCGCCAGGAGAGGACAGTCTTGCAGGACATGTTCTGGAGTCTGTTCAGCACGAAGGCACTGGCAGAGAGCTGTTTGGCTCATACCTGATTTATATGAGTTTTTATTGAGTCGCCCTAAAGTTGATGTCCCTGTCTCTCCCCAGATCTGCCGAGAGTTCAGCCAGCAGTGTTACCTGTTCCAGAACCCTGTGTTCACCAACCTTGTGCAATATCAGTTTGAACCATGCCCTGGCGACACGGTAAGTGCAACCTTATTTTTGAATTTGCTTTTATTGGCTGCTTTACTTTGATTGGTAGGTTTGTCTTGATTCTACCCTGATTGATAGATTTATGTTAATAGGTTGTTTTACCCTGATTGGTAGATTTAGTTTGATAGGTTGCTTGACCTGTTTGGTAGATTTAGTTTGATAGATTGTTTTACTCTTATTGGTAGGTTTACATTAACATGTTGCTTTACCCTGATTGGTAGGTTTACATTGAAAAGATGCCTTACCCTGATTGGCAGGTTTACATTGAAAAGATGCCTTTCCCTGATTGGTAGGTTTACATTGAAAAGATGCCTTTCCCGTGATTGGTAGGTTTACATTGAAAAGATGCCTTTCCCTGATTGGTAGGTTTACATTGAAAAGATGCCTTACCCTGATTGGTAGGTTTACATTGAAAAGATGCCTTTCCCTGATTGGTAGGTTTACATTGAAAAGATGCCTTACCCTGATTGGCAGGTTTCTACTTTCCCCTGATTCTGTCCAAGGTTTGCATGGCCAGCCTCTTCTTCCCTTCCCGCCTGGTCTGTACATTATTGCTTTCTGTGGTCTTCTGTCTGTTGACATCCGCGTAATATGACCAAACAGTTCCACCTGTTGTCTTCTGATGAAGGCCTGAGCTGCTGCTACAATGATTTCCCTTTGGATTTTATCATTTCTGATCTGATCTCTTCTTTTTACACCAAGAGCCCTTCACAGTAATCTCATGTTAATTGTTAATTTTCTTTTCTCTTTTTCTGTCATGGTCCAAGTCTAACATTGGTAATGCATGGTTGGCAGGAAGATTGTGTTATAGAATGCTCTTTTGGTTTCTACTGATACATGTTCGTTTCTTAGTATTGCTGTTATTTGCCCATGATGTTTCATGATGTTCTGAAATGGACATTGAGTCTTTTAGCTACAAGTAAACTCATGACTGTTGTGTTAGATTCTGACCTTTTTCTTCCCCAGTGCAATAAACTGACCAGTGACAACAGTGCAGGACCCGACCTAGAGAAGGAAGCCAGGAAATGGTCAACCAGAGTGGCCAAGGAGACAAGGGCCATCAGGGATTATTACAGACAGTTGACTGTTCTACAGAGTGTTAAAACTGGGGTAAGCTGGTTCTACAGTGTTAAAACTGGGGTACGCTGGTTCTACAGAGTGTTATAACTGGGGTAAGCTGCTTCTACAGAGTGTTAAAACTGGGGTAAGCTGGTTCTACAGAGTGTTAAAACTGGAGTAAGCTGGTTCTACAGAGTGTTAAAACTGGGGTAAGCTGGTTCTACAGAGTGTTAAAACTGGGGTAAGCTGGTTCTACAGTGTTAAAACTGGGGTACGCTGGTTCTACAGAGTGTTAAAACTGGGGTAAGCTGGTTCTACAGAGTGTTAAAACTGGGATAAGCTGGTTGTACAGAGTGTTAAAACTGGGATAAGCTGGTTCTACAGAGTGTTAAAACTGGGGTAAACTTATAGATGCTGTTGAAGATCTCATATTGTGGAAAGGCATGATCACCCATGCGAGTCAGCAAGGTACTTGATGATGATGTATATAAGTGCTCATTAATAACAGCAAATTAATTTTCTAATCACTCCACGAGTGACCTCAAGGGTTTTCCAACAGTCCAGAGATTCAGAAGGGTGTGTTTGTGTCATTATGGTATGTCCCCCTGAATGAGGTCACTCAGTAACAGTTTGCTACTTAGTGAAGATATTGCAAATTTAGGTGAGCAGTATTGGTCATGATAGTGTAGTGGCTTGACATCCACCCGCTGACCCAGAGATCTGAGATTCAAATCCGCATTAAGGTAGATGTTATTGAGAGTTGACCTTGGCTCGCAGATCGACCAAGGTTAAAAAGGGTCACAAGTGATGTCTTGGAAAATACAGTGAAAGTGTTTCTTTGAAACAAAATGTATTGTTTTTCATGTGTTTGTTGTATGTCTCCAACAGTCTGAATCAGGAAACCAGGATCCGGCAGTTGCCGATCCAGAGGCTAAACTGGAGGAACTCAAGCAGAGCATTCGTAAAGCCGAGGTGAGTTGTTGCTTCTTGGTTCACTGGTTCTTATCATCTTGGTTCATCAGACAGGATTATGTATGCATGCACATGGAGCGTGATGCTTTGATGTAGATTCTTAATTCAACATTCAACATGGACCGTGAATAAATAATGTGGGAAGGAAAAGTACAGCCTTTCAAATGTGGTTATATAGATGAGTAGGAAGAATATGATGAGAGGAGGAGAAAAGCAAAGAAGTATTTCATAAACTGAAACGGAAGAAAAAGTGACTGACTGAGATCAAGGGCAGACAGTTAAGGCACTTTGGCTATATAGAGGCATACAGCCCTTTGTGAGAGGATGAGCTGGAAGTAAAGGTTGAGGAATGACAGGCTGGTGGAAGACAGTGATGATGATGAGTAATCTGTACTCACATATGTAAATGCATTTTTTTCTCACCTTGTTGGATAATGAGTATTGGAGATTATTGACAGATCATAACCAGCAAGGAGACAGGCCTTGTGTATTGATGATAATGGTGATGGTTATGCCTTGCCCAGTTTAGAATCATCTTTCCTTCTTTGTGGTTTCCGGGGCCTCATTATGGGGGAAAACAAGAATAGACCCACTGCCTCCCTTAAAGCATGTCGTAGGAGTGGACTAATTAGAGGATTCCTTCAAAGTCAGACTGCATCTGCCCGAGAGGTGAGGAATCAACAGTTGCATACAGTTAGACCAGATCTTTAGCCAGTGAATACAAACAGACAAAATTATGTTATGTCCATTGTAAGCATTGTATGTTCTTGAATGTTATATAAGATTAGTAAATGCAGTACTTGGTATAATCTTATGCCAGGCACTGTGTTTAATGTTATTTACATCTTAAATAAACTTGTATGCTCTATAATGTTGTGTAAATGGTACTAAGTTTAATAGTATGTGTAGTGTTATGAAACTTTATGTGTTTATTTGCAAGGTTTAAAAATTTTTTTCAGACGACCAAATTGAAAGCTGAGGCTCGACTAGAAGCTCTACGCCTTGGTGGAGGTATGTGGTAATTTATACGCTTTATCTCAGATATCACAAATATTAAAATCAGATCTTTATTTTCACATCGTCATATAGTGCAGCTGTTTATTTTTGTCCCCTTTGTAAAAGAATTAGAGATAAGTACAGTAACTATGAGATAGGTTTCTGTTGAGCAATGAAGGATCTTGAGGAATACTCGGAAAAGGTTCAACATTACAACATTCAGGACAATTATATATTAGCCCTGTCTCCCTCTCCATGTGGATGATACGCAGTGTGATCTGGTTAACTACTCATCTTGCCTTTCCCTCAAGTCTCGAATGGCATCCCCAGCCTGCAGACACTCCCCATTGCATCATTCTCTCCAGGTACGGTTTTCAGTATCTCCCACATGTTATTTTGGCATCTTTCCGGATGATAGTGTTACACTGTGCTGTGAGGTGGTATATGACTCGCAGCCCATGGCGATGGTGAGTGTGACAGCAAGTCTTGTCAACATCAAGAAGTCTTAATTTAGGCCAGGGATGAAGTTCCTCCTCTCCACAGCACAAAGCCTGGGCAGTATTGTAGAGACTGTATATTGCTCATGTATCATGATGCTTCTCTCAGGTTACCTTGTTTACTATAAAGGAAAGGTAACACCAGTACATTTAGAACACAGCAGGCGGCAGCATCTTTGACTCTACTTGTTACTTCATCCCGCAGGCAAGAGATTCCCTCTGCCTTGTGCAATTACAGTACACCATCAAGTGAGGCTGCTTTAGCACTACAGAATAATGGATTTGCATAAAGTTAACACTTTTACTGAAACTGTTGATATTGAAATGCTGCAACCGGCATGTGAATACTGATGATGTATTGTTGACTTGCATGTCTTCAGTCAATGTTGATGAGTGGATCAACCAGGCTCAGATGGAATCCCTGGTGGCGGAGGAGAGTGGGCTGGCTAGGACCCCCAGCCAGGTCTCACTGAGAACAGAGAGCTCAGGAGGGGTAAGGTATTTGTTCGAACCTTGGGAACATTACATGATCTGTGCTGGGTGTTGGTAGGTCTCCAGTCTTGTGGACATCACTTCATTCATCATTTCTTCAGTCCTCTTGAGCTCAGAAGGGGTAGGGTATTTGTGTGAACCTTGTCAACATTGCATGATCTGTGCTGGGTGTTGGTAGTTCTCCAGTCTTTTGGACATCACTTCATTCATTTCTTCTATCCTCTTGTAAAAAAAAGTAGGAACATAGATGAAGAACCATCTCTTTTCTACAAGATCAGTTCTCATGTTTCTTACTTGTGTCTAGCATGGGAATTGTTTTTTATGATCATACTTGTCTAAGTTAATGCCATTAATGTTAATGATAGACTGGCAACTATGAATCTTTTTGAATTACAATGAAGAGGCAGAAAATGCAATGATATATTTAATGTGACGATTAAAATTGTAACTCAGCAACAAGCTTGCAGGTGTATGGTTGTGTATTGCATAAATGCCAATATCTGTACAGGTTTTTTTGGTTTTTATTTGTTTGTTTTTCTTTTTTATTATCTGTATAGCTCACCTCAGCCTGGAAGCTCCACGGAAACTCTTTGTAATACTAATTGGGGTCATGACAGATAGGTTAGGAACCCATAGGTTAGACAGAGTTGAAAGTAAAAACTGCTTCATATACTTATCTAAGTTTTCACTTGATTATTTCATTCATAACTAGAATGTCTTTGCATTGGAACCCTCAGAGGGCATAGGAATAAAGGAAGGGCAAAAAACACATGAGAAGAGAGATGGAGAATGAAGTTAGAAAGATGGGGAGGACATGGAGAGAGCTCCATGCAATGGCGAAGAATAGAACGACTTGGCGTGAGTTGGTTGAGGGCTTATGCTCCATTGGGGGATAGAAAGACAGAAGAAGAAGAAGAATTTCATTCATTCAGGTTATTTTCTTTTCAGTTTATTCTCCTTCAGGACCATAATTTTCTTCTCTACATTTTCAGCAAAGCGGTAACGACGACCACGAGCCCACCTACACTCACTATGACGATGATGATGATTTCATTGATGACGCATTCAACACCACAAGTAGCCGCACTGGGCGGGTTTACCCACTCACGTGTAGCGCCCTCTATGACTTCCAGGTATGGTGAAATCGTCATTTTTGGGAATATTTGATGCTTGCTGCACAGCTTTTTGGGTCAATCAGAGTTCTAGCGCCCTTTTGGAAAAATGAGGAGGGGCACAGATTAGACCCAATGTCTCCCACCCCCTCCCTCCACTCCTGACAGGAATATTCTAAAAGATAAATAATTAACAGTTTTCTGAAATGATGTTTTGGCCTGAAAGATACAGATATTGCAGCCCGGCTGTTAACCACAACACATTGTTCCAACTGCCCCTTATTTTAAATAGTGATTACAGAATAAGAAAAACATCCAGCTCGCTGAATAAAGGTGTTGAAATATGTCTGAATTCATTGTTAGGTTTGACTAAATAAAGTGGCAACAGAATGATATCTGAATTCACAGAGCAGATTGCTGATAGTTTGCCGCATAGTAAGTATTACAGCTGAAATATGACCAAATTCAGTGTATCCTTCTGTTTCTTCTTCTCCATTATTTTCTCCTTATTGTGACTTCAGGTGTTGAGTGTGATATTATGTTCTGTTTCTTGCTCTTCTAGCCACCTTGATCATGTAAGCATCTTGCTGTGGAGAGTTTCTCTGATGTTATCTTTCCATCGTGTACTTATTCTTCCTCATGCTGTGACCTGCCCATACCTGATGAAATCTGTGGAGGTAATTATGCAGTCAAAATTTCACTTCCTATACTGCTTTAGCAGTGACTAAAATATCTTCCTTAGCCGAAATGTGAACCTTGGGCCTTGATGTTGTTAACTCAAAGTACAATACATTTAAAAAAAAAAAAAAAATCATAGTTGCTTGTGTCTAAGTTTTTTGGACAAAATCAGAATACGTCTACTGCCACCCGGACTTGTCATTAACAGTCGACTAATTAGGAGTGTTTCTGTCAAAGTCAAATCCATCTCCCTGGGATGCGATAAATCAAGATTCTGCATACAATAAACCAGATCTGTAAGAATAAATGTGCAGGCAAGACTCAGTCCAGAAATGGATGAGCAAGCAGAACTTTCTGCTAATGTTTATGCTAAAGAAAAAAAAAATTTATCATTTGAATGTATATTAAAGATGTTGAACTGTGACTTTCTGGTTCCCAGGCCAGCAACTACGATGAGATGACCATCAAGGCAGGGGAAAAGTTGGAGCTGGTTGCAGACGGCGATGGAGAGGGATGGGTCAAGGTCAGGAATAGATTCCATTACTTTTAGCTTTACTAGTTTCAATTGATTTCCTAGTGAAATTCTTTCAGAAATTATGTTTCCTGGTTTTATTGTTTCATAGATTTATTGTAAAATGGTTAGTGGACCATTGACTGTGGTCACGAGCACAGGCGAGAGTTTTTTTGCCAGTTTGTTTAACATCTAGATCTTCTCATTTACATTGGGCTTATACATAAATGAAGGGTTCTGTCAAAATTACTAAAGAAAACGCCCTAAAAAACCATGAGAATGGCAACATGAAGTTCCTGAAGTCTTCATGTTGCCATTATCATGGTTTTTTTTTAAGGCGTTTACTTTAGTAATTTTGACAGAACCCTTCATTTATTCAAAGGGTTATTATTTGTTTATGTCTTTGATTTCGATGTGATTTGTTCATTGTTAATTTTGGCAAAAATATGCATTTTGTTATCTTGGATCTTTACCTTATTGAATTTTGTTATCACTTTTCATTATGGATTGTCATAGAACTATTAATTGTTCATTTGGATGAAATTTTTCTTTGCTGTATTGGATGCATTTCCCTGTGTGGGCTCTGGAGCTCCATTGAGGAGAAGACAAGAAAAGACCCACTGGGCATATAATAGAAGTTGAATAATTGGGGACTTCCTTTGAAGCCTGAGTGGCCAGGAATAACCAGCTGCCTAAATAAACTATTAAATTGGATGTACGCGCAAAACTAAGGCCCTTTCACAAAGTGAAAAGTCCGGATGGACAAACAGCCAGGACTTTCTGCCAGACCTTACAGCCAGTGAACAAAGAAGAAGAAGAAGAGTTGGATAAATTGAGATAATTTTTCATTTTTTATTTAGATAGATCTGGCATTGTTGATTTTGTAGATGTTGATAGGATTTGTGATTGTTATTTTCAGGCAAAGAATTTGCTAGGTCAGGAAGGCTATATACCAGAAACTTATGTCAACTTGAGTGGACTGTCAGACACGCCTGCCGCCGTCGCAGTGGAAGCCATGAATGCAGTCAATGAAACCATCAGCGAAAGTGTCAAACCACCGCCACCACCGGCAGCAGCAGCATCACCCCAGCAACGACAACAGCCACCACAAGCAGTGCGGGCGTCTAGTCCAGAGCTTCAGTCACCCACCTCTGGGGACTTGCAGCAAGACACAGCTTCGTCTTACTCGTCTGGTGATCTGGAGGTTCAGCAGACGACCGAGGTCATGGCCACAGGCAAGCAGCCATTACCATCGACTGTGGTCACGAGCACAGGTGAGAGTTTTGTTGCCAGTTTGTTTAACATCTAGATCTTCTCATTTAGAATAGGCGTATGCATAAATGTGTGCATGCACCATGCTTCAGTTAGAGAAGGCAAGCACACATGTGAGAAACTGAGAGGGGGAGAAGATGGAGAGAGGGTAAAGGAGTGGGAGGAGAGAGAAACAGACAAAGAGGAAAGGGGAGAAATAGGGAAAGGAAGAGGAGAGATTATATTGATAGACCCATTTCTCAACCAGCCTCTCTGTCTTCTACCGATGATCATTTGAGGTTATAATGTTCTCCGATGCATTCTTCTTCTTCAACCACAGGACTCTTGATTATTCTTACAAACAATATCTACTTTCATTAGATTTTTGAGGCAGTTGACGTTTCAACTGCTTTAGCTGTCTAGTGTATATCCAACATTTGACTCAGAAAACATCTCCCTTGCTTCCAATCTATTTCTGATTTGTTGACATGTAGAACAAATTTAGTATAACATTTCAGTGCTAGTAGTCTCTGTACACCATCTGAGTGTCAAGTAGAACCAGCTCATAACCAGCATCCTGGGCGGAAAGCAGAGATGTTTTGGCCATGTTTAACATCATGGTGGCAAGGGTAGAACAGTGATTGGGGGGGGGGGGGGGGGGGGGTTTACAGTTTCCCAATAGAGGTTGAAGATGCGATGTCAAGGGTAGAAAAAGAGATTTTCGGGCGTGCCGTGACGAGAGCGACGCTGTGTAAAGAACCTGCAGCTCGATGATGAATAAATATGCTCAACATTTCAACAGCTCTGTGACGTGATAACTACCTTCAGGTTCGGACCATTCCCATATTTGAAATTTGTAAATGTGAAAAAAATTAGCTTGAGGCAAAGGGGCCATATCACAAAAAAAGTCAACAGAAATGTTTGTATAAGTCAACTGAAATGTTTGTATAAGTCAACCGAAATGTTTGTATAAGTCAACTGAAATGTTTGTATAAGTCAACTGAAATGTTTGTATAAGTCAACAGAAATGTTTGTATAAGTCAACTGAAATGTTTGTATAAGTCAACCGAAATGTTTGTAAAAGTCAACTGAAATGTTTGTATAAGTCAACTGAAATGTTTGTATCTAAAAAAATTGCTTCACAAACATTTCTGCTTCTCCACAGAAATCTCCTGGGCACGCGCTTTATACGACTACGAAGCACAAACAGAGGAGGAGTTGTCATTCCTAGAGGGGGCTCTCATCAGAATCCTGCGTAAAGATGATGGTGGAGTTGATGATGGATTCTGGGAGGGAGAGTGCAATGGGAATATAGGAGTGTTCCCTTCGCTGGTGGTCGAGGAGGTGGTGGGTCCGCCAGATGTGAGTATGGGTGTTCGTTGAGATCCATAACCTGATGTATGTTCCAAGGAAATTGGTGTGTGACTGTTTGAATGAACATAACATATATATGATTGTGTCAGTGGTTATGTGTGAACGTTAGAAAGTAATGTGTGGCAAATGAAAATGGTATAAAGTTAAAGAAAAACAACACCTAATTTATGAAGTGAATAACTAAAACGTTTCTTGTGCTTTGAGAAAATCTGATTGTATGTGAGGCTCTATGGGAGTGTTTTCAACCATTAAGGTGGTGTCCCCCTCTGTTCCCCCCCCTTTAATATATGACTGGATCCTCCCGCCACTTCTTTCCACTTACACCCCCCCCCCCCCCCCCCAAAAGGATTTAAAAGTTAAAAAAAAAAAAAAAAATAAACTGCTAAGAAGATAACAAGGACTTGGAGGAGTAAAACATTCAAATGAATTAAAGTGTAAATTAACATATAAGAAACAATCATCAACAAGAGGGTGGGAGGAGAGAAGTGGGAGAGGCAGTAGTGGGAGTAGTAGGAGAGAGGCATGGGAGGTTGAAAGGGAAAACTGGTGAATGAAAGAATGGGTTAGGCAGTAATAAATTATTGCTGAACTCGGTGATTACAAATAACAGAGTTTTGGGGGCAGTGCAGAACTAAGCAAAGCAAATTTTAATAATAAAAAAAAAAAAAAAAAAAAATCATTACTATAAATAAAAATAAAAAAATCAACCCCCCCCCTCCTTCCTGTTCCCCACCCCTTTCACCCACAAACACACACACACACACTCACAAAATCAAATAACAGCTGAGCTTTGAAATCCAAGATCAAATAGTAGAGCTGCTCATAATATTTTAAGAACACAGAATAGCAGAGATAATCTGTTATAAGATTAGTTTAAACAATGTGTCTTTTGCCTGTTGTGCCACTAAAAGTAATGTTTTCTGTTGTACCATTGCCACTCTGTTTTCTGTTGTACCATTGCCACACTGTTTTCTGTTGTACGAATGCCGTTCTGTTTTATGTTGTACCATTGCCACTCTGTTTTATGTTGTTCCATTGCCATTCTGTTTTCTGTTGTCCCATTACCATTCTGTTTTCTGTCGTTCCATTGTCATTCGGTTTTCTGTTGTACCATTGCCATTCTGTTTTATGTTGTCCTATATTCTAACACATGCTGTATGCTTTTATTTATGACCACCTCAACCAATAATTTCCTGTAATTTTCTGTCTGTGCAGGACCCACTCTCGCCAGGAATGATGTCCGCCCACACAGACTTCTCTGTGCCCCCTCCAGTCCACGTGACGCTGCCAACACCAGAAAATGAGCCTCCACCACCTCCTTCAGCATCTAACGGAGAAGGTATGCACACTTTCCTCATTGGTTTACTGTGATATAAGCGGCAACAGGGTACTGGGACTCGGAGATACTTGAACAAATGTGTAGAATTGAGGCAAGATCTGGGATTATTGGTTGGGTCTCACTTGATATTTCTGACTTTATTAGATTACCAGTTAGCTGCACTGTCTGCTTGTTTGTTTATTTTCTTCTGCTTTCTCATGTGCCTTGTCTTGGAGTGACATCTTCAGTCATGACTCTATGACCCTCTCTGTCATGTGATGTCTTGACACGGTTAGTGTTGCTTATATTATTTGTTGCCCAACTTTTTAAGATTTCCACATTGTCTTCTGTCTTGCTCTGGCTCTTTTTTCCAGAGGTACTCACCCATATACATTGGATGTATTTTTTTCTTCTAAAAAAATGGGCCCTCCAACCCACATAGAGAAGCAGGATTATTTGGTCTTTCCTCTAACTTGGGATGCTTAGGTACCATATGGTCTTCTTTAGCTTGTCTTTTTCTATCCTTGCATGTTTTCCCCAGCATGGTTACGGACACAGTACCTTGATTACTCAAGCCAATACCAGTGGTGTATCCAGGCATTTGTTGACCATTGATATTCCACAGTAGTAGATTCATGCAACACTATTCTACCTCATCCGTGTCTCAGGTTTGATCTTCATTAACGCTTTTAGTCTTAAGAAATTTGTCAGGCGTACTTGTTTCTTCCTCATGAATCCCACTTCTGCCTCATGAATCCCACTTCTGCCTCATGAATCCCACTTCTGCCTCATGAATCCCACTTCTGCCTCATGAATCCCACTTCTGCCTCATAAATCCCACTTCTACCTCATGAATCCCACTTCTGCCTCATGAATCCCACTTCTACCTCATGAATCCCACTTCTGCCTCATGAATCCCACTTCTACCTCATGAATCCCACTTCTGCCTCATGAATCCCACTTCTGCCTCATAAATCCCACTTCTTCCTCATGAATCCCACTTCTGCCTCATGAATCCCACTTCTGCCTCATGAATCCCACTTCTGCCTCATGAATCCCACTTCTGCCTCATGAATCCCACTTCTGCCTCATGAATCACTTCTGCCTCATGAATCCCACTTCTGCCTCATGAATCCCACTTCTGCCTCATGAATCCCACTTCTGCCTCATGAATCCCACTTCTTCCTCATGAATCCCACTTCTTCCTCATGAATCCCACTTCTGCCTCATGAATCACTTCTGCCTCATGAATCCCACTTCTGCCTCATGAATCCCACTTCTACCTCATGAATCCCACTTCTGCCTCATGAATCCCACTTCTGCCTCATGAATCCCACTTCTTCCTCATGAATCCCACTTCTTCCTCATGAATCCCACTTCTTCCTCATGAATCCCACTTCTGCCTCATGAATCCCACTTCTTCCTCATGAATCCCACTTCTGCCTCATGAATCCCACTTCTTCTGAATTTTATTACCCACTGGAGCATAGGCACTCAACCAACGCATGCCCTGTGGTTCTGTCCTTCACCGTTGCATGCAGCTCACCCTTTGTCCGTCCCATGTTTTTAACTTCACTCTCTAGCTTCCTTTTGTGTCTATTTTTTGGTCTGCTTTTTTTTCTTCCAAGTCCATGTGGAGTCCATTCTAGTTCCATTGTTTTTCTTCCAAGTCCATGTGGAGTCCATTCTAGTTCCATTGTTTTTCTTCCAAGTCCATGTGGAGTCCATTCTAGTTCCATTGTTTTTCTTCCAAGTCCATGTGGAGTCCATTCTAGTTCCATTGTTTTTCTTCCAAGTCCATGTGGAGTCCATTCTAGTTCCATTGTTTTTCTTCCAAGTCCATGTGGAGTCCATTCTAGTTCCATTGTTTTTCTTCCAAGTCCATGTGGAGTCCATTCTAGTTCCATTGTTTTGCTTCCAAGTCCATGTGGAGTCCATTCTAGTTCCATTGTTTTTCTTCCAAGTCCATGTGGAGTCCATTCTAGTTCCATTGTTTTTTCTTCCAAGTCCATGTGGAGTCCATTCTAGTTCCATTGTTTTTCTCCAAGTCCATGTGGAGTCCATTCTAGTTCCATTGTTTTTTCTTCCAAGTCCATGTGGAGTCCATTCTAGTTCCATTGTTTTTCTTCCAAGTCCATGTGGAGTCCATTCTAGTTCCATTGTTTTTTCTTCCAAGTCCATGTGGAGTCCATTCTAGTTCCATTGTTTTTCTTCCAAGTCCATGTGGAGTCCATTCTAGTTCCATTGTTTTTCTTCCAAGTCCATGTGGAGTCCATTCTAGTTCCATTGTTTTTTTCTTCCAAGTCCATGTGGAGTCCATTCTAGTTCCATTGTTTTTTCTTCCAAGTCCATGTGGAGTCCATTCTAGTTCCATTGTTTTTCTTCCAAGTCCATGTGGAGTCCATTCTAGTTCCATTGTTTTTCTTCCAAGTCCATGTGGAGTCCATTCTAGTTCCATTGTTTTTCTTCCAAGTCCATGTGGAGTCCATTCTAGTTCCATTGTTTTTCTTCCAAGTCCATGTGGAGTCCATTCTAGTTCCATTGTTTTTCTTTCCAAGTCCATGTGGAGTCCATTCTAGTTCCATTGTTTTTCTTCCAAGTCCATGTGGAGTCCATTCTAGTTCCATTGTTTTTCTTCCAAGTCCATGTGGAGTCCATTCTAGTTCCATTGTTTTTCTTCCAAGTCCATGTGGAGTCCATTCTAGTTCCATTGTTTTTCTTCCAAGTCCATGTGGAGTCCATTCTAGTTCCATTGTTTTTCTTCCAAGTCCAAGTGGAGTCCTAAAAGTTCCATTGTTTTTCTTCCAAGTCCACGTGGAGTCCATTCTAGTTCCATTGTTTTTCTTCCAAGTCCACGTGGAGTCCATTCTAGTTCCATTGTTTTTCTTCCAAGTCCATGTGGAGTCCATTCTAGTTTCCATTGTTTTTCTTCCAGTCCATGTGGAGTCCATTCTAGTTCCATTGTTTTTCTTCCAAGTCCATGTGGAGTCCATTCTAGTTCCATTGTTTTTCTTCCAAGTCCATGTGGAATCCATTCTAGTTCCATTGTTTTTCTTCCGTCCATGTGGAGTCCATTCTAGTTCCATTGTTTTTCTTCCAAGTCCATGTGGAGTCCATTCTAGTTCCATTGTTTTTCTTCCAAGTCCATGTGGAGTCCATTCTAGTTCCATTGTTTTTCTTCCAAGTCCATGTGGAGTCCATTCTAGTTCCATTGTTTTTCTTCCAAGTCCATGTGGAGTCCATTCTAGTTAAATTTTTTTCAGGTTTTTGCAATGTGTTTCTTTTCCAACACCACTGTCGTTTCTTCACCTCCCTGTCCACTAGAACTTGTTTAGTTCTTCCCTGAAGCTGAGCATTAGAGATTCTATCTATCATACTATTTAATTCCCTGTGTTCTGTTCACAGTCCCATGTCTCCTCATAGCGCAGTATAACATTATCATCTGAAAGACGGAAAGGTGCCAATCATCTGCGCACCAGTCCCACTAATCAAGTGATAATTTTCAAAACTTGTTTAGTTTAGTCACAGCATACTAAAGAGAACAGAATCTGACTGTCTAGTTTGTTACTAATTTATTGTATTTATCTTCTTAGAAAGTCATAGAGTATTTCTCATGGTGGCTATTCCTCTCTAGGGTATCTACTGTGGAAAATATCTAGTATTGAAAGAGTCAGGTGTTTATGAATGTTTTGATAACTGGCAGTTTGTGCACGCTGTTGTTTTTGTAGAAGTGCACACAATGTTGTCCAGGGCAGCTTGCAGTTTGTCTGAAGCCCTGCTCCACTGCTGAGCTGTTGCTGCTGCACTCAACGTTTGTGTTGTTTTTCAACTCCCGTAATTCGACATCTGTCATGAAACATTATTTTATGTGAAGTACATAAAATGTGATCTATCACGTACACACTCGATCATTCACATATGCTTACTCAGTTAGCCACATACACACATGCACACACTCATTTACATATTCTTACTGAGCTGCATACACACACCCACTCATCTGTATTTTCACTCAACCACTCAACCATATCACCCACTCAACCTATTTTCATACACCCACTGTTCCATATATCCACGCACCCACACAACCATTTATCCTCATACTCATCCATACACCCACTCACTCATATATTCACACAACCCCTTTAACCATGCATCCACTTAACCATATATCGACATACTCACTCACCTATATATTCACATAGCCACATACCCTCTCCTTTTTCCCCAGTTCCCACATATATTCACATACTCGAGCATAAATCTACTCCACCTTATATTCAAATACCTATTCAACCATAAATTTACTTACCTGTATATTTAAGTACCCTGACATCTGCATGAACCATATATCTCCCTGCTTACTGAACCATCTATTCACTAATCCATTCAACCATATATTTGCATAGCTAGTACCCACACACTCAGTCAACCACCCAGTTGACCCACATTCTCAGTCAACCACCCAGTTGACCCACATACTCAGTCAACCACCCAGTTGACCCACATACTCAGTCAACCACCCAGTTGACCCACACACTCAGTCAACCACCCAGTTGACCCACATTCTCAGTCAACCACCCAGTTGACCCACATACTCAGTCAACCACCCAGTTGACCCACATACTCAGTCAACCACCCAGTTGACCCACATACTCAGTCAACCACCCAGTTGACCCACATACTCAGTCAACCACCCAGTTGACCCACATACTCAGTCAACCACCCAGTTGACCCACATACTCAGTCAACCACCCAGTTGACCCACATACTCAGTCAACCACCCAGTTGACCCACACACTCAGTCAACCACCCAGTTGACCCACATACTCAGTCAACCTCCCAGTTGACCCACACACTCAGTCAACCACCCAGTTGACCCACATATAGTGATACAGTGACCTGTGTGCTTTCAATGGTTCCCTGTGATGATCATGCCTGTCGTTTGTTACCTCAGACTGCATGATCTTTCAGGAGTTGTGTAAGTGTTTCCAGTGTCGCCTTGTTGTGCTAGATAGCCA